AATTCTTCCTCAGAAGGGGATTATCATCGAAAACAACATGTATAGACTCTTGTACAACTAAATTTCTTTTATTAAATACTCGATAAGCTTTAGAATTTAAGGAATATCCCAGAAAAATTCCTTCATCACTTTTAGTATCAAATTTACCAAGGTTTTCTTTACCGTTGTTTAAAACAAAACATTTACATCCAAAATGATGAAAATAGCTAATGTTAGGCTTTTTATTTTTGAAAATTTCATATGGAGTTTTCTTTAAAATTGGCCTAATCATTACTCGATTTACAACATAACAAGTGGTATTTGTGGCTTCTGCCCAAAAATATTTTGGCAAATTGTTTTCACAAAGCATGGTTCTAGCCATTTCTTTTAAAGTTCGATTTTTCCTCTCAACAACTCCATTTTGTTGGGGGGTTCTAGGTGCTGAAAAATTATGGCTAATACCATTTGAATTACAAAAGTCAGTAAATCTAAGATTTTCAAATTCAGTTCCATGATCACTCCTAACACTAGTTATAGAGTAACCTTTTTCGTTTTGGATTACTTTTGAAAACGTGATGAATTTTTCTAATGCTTCATCTTTAGTACTTAAGAATAGAACCCAAGTATATATAGAATAGTCATATACCAAAACAAATGCATATTGTTTTCCACCCAAGCTAGTAGTTCTAGATGGTCCAAAAAGATCTAAATGGATCAATTGTAATACTCTACTAGTTGATACATCATTAATGGATTTAAAAGAAACTCGCTTTTGTTTTCCTTTAGCACAAGCATCACAGATTTTATTATTATCAAATTTTAGTTTAGGCAACCATCTTACTAAGTCTCCTTGAATTAACCGTTGCAAAACACTCATACTAGCATGTCCTAGTCTTCTATGCCATAACCAACTATCATGCTCATCCTTAGCAACTAGGCATAAATTAGTCATATCTATAGAATCTAAATGCACCATGTAAATGTTTCCTATTCTATGACCAACAAGCATAATCTGATTAGATGCAATGTCAATGACTTTACAACAATTAGTTTCAAACATGACATTGAATCCCTTATCACATAATTGACTAATACTCAATAGATTATGCTTTAATCCATTCACATATAAAACATTTTTTAATTTGTATGGAAGAGGTATTACCTATGACACCTATACCTTCGATGTGATCTTTTGAATTATCACCAAAAGTCACTTCTCCTCCATTTTTGGCGTTAAGCTCTATGAATCGGCTTTTGTCCCCAGTCACGTGTCTTGAGCATCCACTATCAAGGTACCATGAGTTTAATTTGTTTCCCGTGCCTTGTAGCAATGCTCCTTTTCCTACAAACATAGATTAATTTCTAATTTTTGGTACCCAAATTCCTTTGGGTCCATATTCATTAGTTTTCAAAATCCTAGTCCCTTTAGGTATCCATTTGTGTAGGATATCTTTATCTTTAGTAGTAACGAGTCCTTTAGGAACCCATATACTTTTAACGATTTTTCCATTAGAGGTTCTTCGGGGACCTCTATGATTGTAGTTTTTAAAACTTTTTCTAACAAAGTTGGATTTTGAATTTTCTCCAATTTCAAAATGTTTTGTTCCAACTTTATCAAAAGAAGCTTTAAGATCATCAATTTTCTTTTGATGATCATCATTGACCTTTGAAAGTAAATTTAACAAATCTGAAATTTTCTTTTCAAACTCTTCTAATTTGAATTGTAAATCTTTGATTTTAATTTCAAGATCGTTGTTGGTTTTGGATATGAGTTTATTTTCATTTTTCAATTTTGAAATATCATTTTTATATTTTAAAAACAATTTCTCATAATCCAAACCAACCCATTATATTCCTCTAATAACTCATCATAAGATAAATCATCTAAATCAAATGAGTTAAAGGTTACCTTAGAATCTTCCCCGAATGCCATCAATCAAGCATAAGTTTGCTACTTCTTGTTCCTCTTCATCGGAACCTTCTTCATCGCTCCATGTAGCCACATGAGCCTTGTGCTTATTCTTTGATTGACCATTTCTCTTTAATTGTAGGTAATCATATTTGACATGCCCCGGCTTTTTGCATTCATAGCAAATGATTGGGTCCTTCTCTTTTGGTTCATTTTTGAGGCCTTCATTTCGTTTGAATTTTCTTCCTCGGTAAGGTCTCATCATTTTTCTGAACCATTTGGCAAACAATGTCATTTCCTCGTCATCGTCATCTTCATCCGAATCACTCTCATCTTTTGTGGATTTGAGAGCAACTCCAATATTTTTCTTCTTCTCCTTCTCCTTTGGTGTCTCGTCAATCTTATCGATGTCCACCTCATCTTCAAGCATCATTTCATGAGTGAGGACGGAACCAATTAGATCTTCAAGAGTTAAGGACTTTAGGTTCTTAGCCTCGATAAATGTCGTCTTCTTGGATTGCCACGATTTTGGAAGTGAGTAAACTAACTTCCTCATAAGTTTTTCATTTGGAATGATCTCTCCATATAATTTGAGACCATTGACAATTGTTGAGAATCTATTCGTCATAGCTTTGATATCTTCATTTGGTTTCATCCTGAAATTTTCATAGCTATGTGTTAGAAGACTAATTTTAGATTCTTTTACCTCATCGGTTCTTTCATGGGTGACTTGTAGTTTATCCCATATTTCTTTGGCGGTTGTACAAGATGAAACTCTCCCATATTCATCTGGTCCAAGAGCACAAAATATGATATGGATGGCTTTGGAGTTGAGCTGGAACATTCTTGTCTCTCATTCACTCCACAACCTTGGATGAGTGAGAGGTTTGATATATCCGTCTTCTACAATATTCCATGCTCCCATGTCACTTGCTTGAATAAAATACATCATCCTATTCTTCCAATAGGCATAGTTAGCTCCATTGAAGAAATGAGGCTTATTGACGGGCATCGAATCAAGACCGAAGTCGACGTTTGAAGTGGAGGTCATTGATGACTTGATTATCGATGTAACTCTTTCCAATCGACTCAAGAGGCGATTAAACCTTCAAATGAGTGAGGCTCTAATACCAATTATTGAGTTAATCAATCGATGGAATCGGCCAAGAGGGGGTAAATTGGTAATTAAAAATTTGGTGGAAGCTTTTGAAGAAAATTGAAAGTAATTGCACAGCGATTTAGAGTGGTTCGACTTTCTCAACCAAAGTCTACGTCCACTACCTTAGCTATCCACACTAAGGATTTTCCAACAAATTCACTAATTTGTTCTTTCTTTTGAGGACAAAGAGTAACCTTACAATTCTCTCAAGAATTATACCCCAATTCTTGAGCACACTCTTTTTCAAAGAGAAATACACAAATTTGCAAACTTACAAGGAAATTCTCACAAGGTAAGATGTTTGCACAATTCTAGAACAATAAAATAACACTAAAAAATAATTACAAATGAGCACAAATGGTGTTCTTGAAAGCAAAATGAATATTGAAAGGAAAATTGGCTTGAATTGCACAAACTTAGTGTTTGATGCTTTCTCTCTTGTTTCTCTATGATTTCTTGTTGATCAATGGCTTCAAAACTTGCTTAAATACTCCTTCAATTGATTCTGAACGTTGGGGATGATTAGTGGAGTCAATAGAGCCGTTTAAGTGTGAAAATAATTAATTAAAGCAGTTGGGAGCGTCAGTGCATCGATGCATACCCATTGTGCATCGGTGCACTTAGTGCACCGATGCATAAAATGCATTCGATGTTTCAAAATAGCCAGAGTGCATCGATGCATGGCTGGTGCATCGATGCATCAAATGCATTCGATGTTTTCATAAAACCTTGAGTGCATCGGTGTATCACTTTGAAAAATTGATTTTAGGCTTGATTTTGGTTCAAAATACTTTGTGAAAATTGTTTAAAAAATAGTTTAAGTATAAAACACAATTTTACACATTTAGTAAGGTTTGAAATTGATCTTGAAAGACTTGGAGTAATAATTTGATATTCGATTAATTGAATTGAATATACTTATAAAATCTTTGTAAAATTTTAAAATTCATTTATACTTAGTTTGTTATATCGAAACATCAAAATGTTTTCAACAATTTTTTATATAAAAAAACAAAATTTTCTATTTTTTTTAACTTACACCCTTAAAATCTTTTATTTCAACCTCATTATCAGCTATCGTTGGTTAAAATCTTTTATTTTAACCTCACTACCAACTGTCATTGGTCATCACAGACTGCCTTTGTCATTGTTGAATGATCACTTACTCGTCATCTGACCTTCATTGCTCATTATCCCTTTTGTTGTCATCACAATCCCCTTAAATTCATAAATCAAAACTTAAATCTCAAAGCATAATACTCGAATCCATAACTTAAATATCAAAACATAATACTCAAATTCGTAACTCTAATCTCAAATTTCATTCACCCAAAGTTAACCTAAGGGATTTATGAGGATGATGGAAGGGTTCTAAATATAACTAGGGAGGCAGAATTCTTTGCGTAGACGAGGGAGTTACGCAAGCGGGATGAGGGAAATTAAAAAAAATTAAATAATATTTTTTTTTTAAAAAGTAACAATTATAAAAATATATAAAAACATGACACGTGTCAGATAACGACTAAATTTAATGATCGTTTCAGCTTTGACACCTAAAAGTATAATGTTGAAAATGTTAAGACACTCAATATTAACGAAAAAATCTTTATGCACCTAAAGTTAACTTAGGCTATAATTTGGACACTTATTTTACATTAAACTAAAATATAATAATTATTATACGTGTTATTTAACAATTTTTTAACAATTATTACTATGTAAACACTTAAAAATATAACAAAAATGTTAGACACATAAAATTATAATGGAATAAATTTTAAACGCATATTTCTTAATGAAAAATTTTATAGACACTAAAAGTCAAAGTATAATTTTGTTGTTTATTTTTGCATTAAAAAAACGATCCTATTATCAATCTGGGCCTTAGCGATGGTTTTATGCTTAAAAACTGTTTGAACAATTTAGCCCTTTGTTTCCTCTGACCACCTTCCTTCCAATAGTTGGCTTTCACTGCATTTTTCTTTTTAACTGATAACGCCCTTTTCTCTCAGATCTTTACGCATCGGCGGAGAGAGGATCAGAGCGTTAATAGGGTTTAAAAGGTACGGCCTCGAAATTTCGTTTGTTTTTTTTCTTCAAAAAGTTATATGATTAGCATTTCTTTGATTTCTTTTTTAAATTCTTGATCTGGTTTTATTGATTGCCAAGCTGAATTACAGTTTTGTTTGATGAGATCTGAAATTTGACGTTAGATTATTTCATTATTCCACTAGGTTTTATCTAATTTCCGCGTTTCAATATCTCATGCTTATAGATTGTTTAGTTATTTTCTAAGAGTATTTCTGAAGGGATTTTTTTTTTGGAATGCAATGTAAAGGCCATGGCGGGATCAGGGAGTTCGATGCTATATTCATTTCTTTTATTTACTGTGATTCTCTCACTCCAAGAGATGTATCCAGGGAAGTTAGCTTCGTCAGAGCTTTTCACAATACTTGGTGGATTCATCAGCTCCCTCTTGTTTCTTGTGTTACTAACAGTGAGTCTCCAGATGCCCTGAATCTGCTCCTTTATTCTATTTATTTATCACCCAGTTTTGCATCCCTGGCTTTATGCTCTCAACTATGGTTTTAATCTGATCATATATTGTATTTGTCAATGTTGTAAACGCCAACATATTGCAATCCGAGCTCTGAGAACTGAATACCATTCTTTTTTTGGCCTTACATTGCTTGATTCAGCATTATAATCAGTATTTTTCTTGCCTACTCTCCTTTCAGTTCATTGGGAATTTCCAGGAGGCAAATGGGATGAGGACCGGTTGGGGTGCCGGTAAGCATATAGAGACCCTTCTTTTCATTAATTTTGTCTGCTTGTTTTTTTTTAAAATTAGTTGTTGTGATATATTATTAATAAACGTCAGAGAGAAGAAGCCTTTTAACATTTTATACTGTCATGTAACTTTCATTGGTGAAAATATAGAATGCATAGTGCATTCATGGCTCATGAGGTTCACTACTGAAATTAAACAGCAGTAAGAAACTCAAAGGTTTGATATTTGAAAACCATTATTTCCTTGTTTTGGTAATAGCCACTGAAGTTCATTAAAACCCAACATTGAATTCTTTTTTTCTTTATGGAAAGATATTTTTCATTGAAAATGGAATTTAAGAATCTTAGTATTAGCTCGTTATTCTAACAAGTTTTACAATGCAATCGCTTCTTTTGTGCTGGATTTCACAACAAACTTAAATTTCTCTCTGTTTTGGCAGTCATATTAGCAGAAGCTGTGGCACTGATTGCTGCTAGCACTGTTCACCGTGTGTGTATCACGACATGGTAATGTCAAGGAAGTGACTCATTATCTTTTTACTTCATGCTTTATGAGAAACATTTTAATCCATTAACAGAATTATTTGGTAAGTTCAAATTATGTGGATGGAATAATATGTTAAAGCAAAACCAGTTGAGAATAAACCCAATGCGAGAGAGAAACTGGTAGTTACTGTTGGAACTTGAACATATATCTTATAGAGTCATGGATTGGTGGAGCCAGGTGATGGATTTGAAGCTATTGACAAATGTTAGGTTTATGGCTAAAGGAAAATGTTAAAATGAGTCAAGTATGCTTCCTAATAAGTTTGTTCCCTCCTGTGGAAATGACTGCCTTTATATTTCATGTTCAATGCAAGTTCTTGTTCTCAGCTGGATTTTGTTTTACCAATATTCGTACTAAATTACTAATGGCTGACTTTATATTTCCATGTTCAATGCAGTTTCTTGTTCTCAGCTGGATTACTTTATGAGATCAACAAGATTTCAGGAGTGACTGTTTCTAAAATTGAATAAAAAACAAAGAGGCACTGAGTTTAAAGATCATTCCCTTTCAGAATAAAAGTTAGTATTTGATTAGAAGGTTGTTTGGTTGTGGCATTGTGCTATTAGGACTATATATAATCAACGATCATCAGTAATTTCAATATAGAAATTTTCCGTTAGAGGTCACTGTTGTTCACGTGTTATTAGCTCACCCTTGATTTCCTCTGAATGAAGAATTTTGAGAAGAGTTATTGTTTTCCTCTCCATTTTGCTATGTTTTTTTTTAATATAATAAAAACAATGTATGAGTGTATTCCTGTTTGTATGGAAGCAAATGACTTAATGCAGCCATGGCTACAAGAGAAGAACTCAAGTCTTGAACTGCAAATCATCTTTTGATTTCCATTTGTTTCCAATCCCCAAACTTTATTCTTCTTTCTTATTTTCATATCAAGGTAGTCAATACTTTTCAGGTGAAAAATACTGTTTTTGTTCTGGTACAAGTGTATTCTAGTGTATCAGTGCTGAGTTTATCAATATATATATATATATAAATTACATTATGTACGCAAATATACCTCAATTACATACATTTATATCCATATACAAACTTTGAAAATTATTTATATTTTTAGAAGTAGTTATAAAAAATACTAAAAAATTAATTTAAAATATTTAAATTTTGTATTAACCGACTTGTATTGAAATAGATAGAAACAAATTAAAAGCCTGATTGGAAAGAAAATTAATGTATGTAATATTGATTTAATATTAAAACGGCAAGTACTGACTGAAAAAATACGGATTATGAAGTTGAATGGTACAATGGGGGGTTTGATTGAATTGGCCATGCAGAGTTGTGCTCAAGGTATTCTGAATTTTCAATCAATGTCGAACCAAAAATTACCTTAGCCTCCCAATGATGGTACAAACATGGAACATGCAGAATCTATAAAACTAATTTGTATATAATAAATAAATAATTAAAATGAATACCAACGGTCCATACTATTTAAGTAAATACATTGATTATATCAATAATGGAAAGGAAGACAGAAACATTTTATATTATTTTATTAATGAAATTATAATTTAATGATTTTAGCAATTTCATGATTGTTAAATAACTCAAAATTTTCATTTTCTATTTGCCTTTAAATTAAAATGCCTAGATTTTAATCATCACTACCAATTATTAATGTCACCAAAATTAATTATTTTTAAAGACACCGTAAATAAGGAATCCCTCTAAACCTGGAGGAAAATAAAAGAAAAAGATGAAGGTTGTAAATTTTAGATGACCACACCAACAACCCATTAGTGTTGCAGGGCCTACCGCTCCCCTCGGCGGCTGGGGCAGTCCACCTACGCCCCTCACCACTCACTATCGCCGCTTAACTTCCACCACCAAATGTTTTTTTATACAACATAAAGGTTTATATATTTTTTTCTTAACGAAATATTATTGTTGTTTTATTTTCTCCTTCTACTTCTGATTTCACATAAAAATGTCTTCCGCTGCTTTTTGAAAGGGTAACCTATTTTCGCTTACCCAAAGTTAATTTTTGGTTGATTAAAAATTTAAAATTTCCCTGAAGGATATTAAAAACAATATTTTCCCCCTTGCATATATTTAGATTCGATTACTCTCAAATTTTTATAAACTCAATTTGACTCGAATGCATCCTTAAAGTTCAATTACTAGTTTGCCCTTTTATTTTAATAACAACACCTGTGGCTTTCCCAGGGTTGAACTGTTCAATCTGTTATGGAGATGTGAGAGCCATTGAAAGTGAGCTTCTTTTAACCACCTGGTTCAGTTTATGGATAGTCACAATCAGAATCTGATCCTTTTGGCCATGGCCACTAATTATCACCCTTTAAATAATAATACATAAAATATCATAGATGTTATGCACCCTTTTAAGAGTAATTACATGAATTAATTTAACTGTATTAAACTCAAACCTCCGTAACTCATCTTTCTAATCTTTATTTCTTTCTTTTTTTGCCATATCAGATATGTAAGATGCAGAAAAGACTTTGTGCTGAACAGAAATGGGCACTTCCAATGGTGTTAGTGTTAATGGAGTTCGCAGTAACGCAGGAGAAGAAAAAAAGTCGTCTTTCTTTCAAGTTTCAATCATTCCAAGCACATAAGACTTCATGTTGTGTTCGAATTTTCTTTTTTTGCATTTGGACCGAGTGATATGGAAAGTTACAAGTTGAAATGGTGACCAATGGCCTCCATTTTTGTTGAACTTAAGGTAATTAAAAACTGCAAATTCTAGCTTGATATGAACATGAACCTTCTTTTTTATCCTAGGAGATTACTTTTTCCCCTTGCCTTTTTATAACGCTGTCCACGAATGGTATAAATGATCATAAACCAGTTCGATTCTACTGAACTAGTAGGCCGTCGAAAAGGGCTTAAACGACTTGAGATCTAGAACAACTCCGGCAATAGAACCGGCGGCAGCTGCAATGGTGATAATAAGGCAAGCAATGCTAAGGATTTGAAGGCAAAGCCATCTGGTGCTCCACTTTAGTATCTTCTTCTGTGAAATGTACATCTCAACTGGGAAATAAACCGTTAATGGCCAAAACCCAAGTGCCCCGAGGAGTCCAACAATGTCATTAAAGAAAGGAAGTAGCATGGAGATCACAGTTGTAATGATCACGAACACTGTCCTCCAAACCAGCCGGAACAAGTTGAGATTATAAGGGCGGAAACCCGGGATCGGGATCTTGATATCTTTGGTAATGAAGTCAATGTCCGGAAACTTCTCGGCCGCGGTTTTCTCGACGAAGGCGAAAAGGGGTTGACAGTATACTTGATATGCACCAACAAGGTGAATCACAATGGCAGCATTGGCAATGTCAAGGAGCCAAAATGGGTTATAGAATCCAAAACCAGTTAAAAGGTTTCCAGAGGACAAGTCTCCAAAAGCAGCATATCCCATGCATCCACACAACATATAAAAAAAAGTTGTCACTGCAACACTTATCATTGTTGCCTTTTTCATTGTCTTTGATTCTGCGGGTGGAGCCCTGAGGGTGTCCTGCAATAAAATCACCATATCATTTTAAGTTCAACAAATTCAAATGGACTTATATATACATATATAAATATATTTACCTGAATTTCAATGAGTATAAGGGAGTAAGAATAGGCAAAAGCTATGTCTCCAAGTGCCTGGAAACTCCTCCATATTTTTTGGGTTTGAGTCACAGTTCCAACACTTATTCCTGTCAGGCTTCCCCTGATTTTTCCAGTTTCTGGTAAATTAAACAGCTTATATGTGTTAGACAAAAGCTATGTTTCAAAGAACAAAGAAGAACTGAAACAAGGATTTTCAAGTGCCCATGTATGTAGAGCTGTTAATACCTGCGACTTTAGCAATACCCAGGCCAAGGCCAATTGTGGAGTAAGTGAAAGACATGACAGCAGCAACAATGGAAAGCCACCATAGTTGATCAAAGTCGGGTATTTGAGAGAAAATGATTTCAGCAACCCCAAAAGCAATCATGTAAGGGTTGCTATTCATATGGCATGGATTTTTGCCACCACTACCACTGGCATGGAAGCAATTCGACCTTTTGATTGCCCTGTTATATATCAAAACACAAACAACTTTTAGCCCTCAATAAATGCAAGAAAAACCCAACATCCTCTGGCATTAAATCAACATGATATGAAGTTGGGAACTCACATCATGCTAATTGACGATGCAATTGTGTATCCGATGGCAACTCCAAAAAGATTCAAGTATTGAACCCATCCACATATCTTTACTTTAAACCCACCTGCAAATAACAGCAGAAAACAAAGATGTTAAGGATGAAAACAAAGAAGAAAACCCAATTTGGTAATGGAACTGAAAGTTACCAAGGTTTGATCTGACAGCATCCATGTAAGTATAGTTTCTCTTGCCATCAACAGGGTCACCGGAGCGGTAACAAGCAGCAAGAAGAGCGGAGGTGTAGTAAGTTACAAAAGAAAACATAAGCATCACTATTGGACCAGCAACCCATCCAAGCTGAGCAGTGGCCCAAGCCAGGGATAGGACCCCAGAGCCAATGACTGCAGTAATAATATGAGCACTTGCTGTCCATACGGTACCTGGCAAAAAGCCGAAAACAGTGAAAAATTAAGATTTCCGTTATATAAAAAGAAAAGTTGAAGACACTTCCAAGTAAACTTTTGGTTGAATCGTACCGGATCGCTTGAGACGGCCATCGTCATCGTAGCATTTCGAGCTACCATGTGGAACATGTGGAAGCACATCAATGGAGAGGTCGAAAACTTGGTGGTTGTTGTAAAGGTGGTTTCTTCCAGCACCATCGTCTCCCATCTTTGCCAAGAAAAAGGAAGGGGAAAAAAACCCAAAAAAAATTAAGGCTTTCTTTTCTTATAAACTTGGTTGTCAGAGTTTGTGCACGCTGTAAATAAATTAAAGTTGAGTCTTTGAAGTTTGATGCATCAAAGTCTAGTTATGGCAGTCACTGAAACTGAGATTTGAACACTTCCTCCAAAGATTCAGAGCAATAAAGTCTCTCCCGTGAGATGGATAGAACTATGGGGAATTGAATTTGGGGTTACAGAACAATGGGGTTGGAGCCTATATATAGAAGCTACCATGGGAAAAAGAAAGGGGTTGCAGAGAGAAGCACGTGGTGTAAATGACATACACCAGTAGGTGTTCAATTGTTGGACCCAGAGACCACTCGGTTTGGTCAAACATATTAGCTTAGCTTATCTGTCTTTCTTTCAATGTTTTAAAAACTCCAATAAATGTCACAAATATTTCTTGCCTATCTTTGGGTTTGCCCCCACAAAGTAGGCATGGCATGGCACTTTCCTACAGGCTTCACTTCTCATTTTTTTTCATATTTCAACGATAAGACATAACCTCACTTTTTAGTTTCTTCCATCATTATAGTAAGTATATTTCTTAATTATTGATTATATACCTTTCATAAATATAATTGTTTAAATTTAAAATTTTTAAAAATAATAATATTTTATTTTATCACTAAAATCACTCAATAATTTTTTTTAAACAACAATTAATACTTTTGACTAATTATCACCAAATTAATTAACTAAATGAAATGATAATTAACTGATTTATAGGAATTAATTACTACTTTGAGAATAAAGTAAAAAAATTAATTATCCAAAAAAAAGTAAAAAAAATTAAACGCCATATGATAAAGCAAAATGAGCTTAATTAATGTATTCATACCTTCATTAGTGTGCCTT